TTGAGTACAAGAGTAAATAATGAATAATGATTATGATAGCCAAGAACCATTGGATCGTTAGTATGGATTTCTTAGAGATGAGATATTTTCCCGCAGTTAAAAGTATTCTCCATATTGACTCGGATAACCAGCTATCATCATACCGAATTTCATTCAAATCTGTCGAGTAGTTTTCTTGTGATGTGTTCCTAGACAGACAGAAAGACAAAAAATCTAAAAACTATAGATTCGGCTTATGTATCGATAATAGTGATAACTTTAATAACATTTTCCAAAAAATATTCAATGTACAGATTCGACTCAGTTACAATTTTATTATATGTACAGAAAATAAACTTTATTCACAGTTTAAACCACCACGTTTTCAATCAATTTAAAACAAAATTCTAGTCACCCTATTTGGATGTCGCAACAATGTATACATACAGCAATGAAACGGTATTTTGAAAACTATTCGGAAACGATTTATTCCATGCTCAGTTCTCCATGAATGCGGATGTAGATTTATCAGAAATATACTATAGTGGTAACAAAAAGTTACTAATACGATTACATCGACAAAAAACATTTAACTAATCTAGTGTATTAGTTATATTACTGACAAAATGGACGATATTTTGCTCTATAAGTGTAAGAGTTAGAAAAAATAGAATAGAGGTTATGATAGGAATATATTTACAATTTTTACGCAATGTTTTCCTGAACAGGAAACAAGTGGTCGAAGAATGAGCAAAAAAAAACTAAATTTATAAAAGTTTTAAATAGTTGCTGTTGATTATATAAATTTTCATTTTGTTAATTGTGGGTAGGCTGTCTGTAACAACTATACCTTCGAGACATGTAACACCTCAGTCTCTCCCGTGACCATGGATGCTGTAAAGCATTCGAAACGTCGGGAAACAAACATGCAAATAAATCCGCGACAAAATCCGAAAAGATAGTTTTATTTAAAATACAAATTGGTTATTTTTCCTGATATGGCCCCTCGTATTGAAGGGAGGCCCGCGAGTCCCAGCAGTGGGACGTTAAAATCGTTTGAATACAAGTTATTCTTGTATCACATAAATCCACATAAATCAACAAAACGGGTCGTCGCGAGTAACCCTAGTCCATACTTCCATACTAATATTATAAATGTGAAAGCGTGTTTGTTTGTTTGTCCTTCTTTCACGTCGAAACGGAGTAAAGGATTTGCGTGATTTTTTGTGTGGAGATAGTTGGAGAGCTGGAGAGTGACATAGGCTACTTTTTACCGCGGGAAATTATCTAATTCCCACGGGAAAACACGTTATATTACAATGCAAAAAAAACATCAGAATTACTTGAAACTTGGTATTCATGCTCTTCAATAAAAATAAATAAATACGTGTTTTAGCATTTTTCAAAATTCGTTCTATAAGGGGGTAAAATAGGCGTTGAAAGTTTGTATGAAACTACCTTTTTAGAGATTTTTTTGTACCTTTAGCGCGAGAGCCGCGGGTTCTGTTAGTATACTATATATTTCCATTATCAAATGATTAATGCACACTGCGATAAAGTGGTAATAGTAAATATGGCATGCCACAGAGGGTTACTGAACGCGATACGCCCTCAAGTGGCTTGCAAAGGGAAGAAACGTGTCCTTGCATAAAGCTTTCCTCTTGCCGTACTCCCATATAATGGCAACTAGGGTTGCTTAAAGGTAAATAAAACTTTTCGTTATAATTATAAATATAATTAAAGTGTCTGTCTGTGAGTTCAAAATAGCGACTCTATATTAAACTCAAATTATAGTTATTTGTTTGTACGAGTATATGAGTTGTAGTTTAAAAATCTTTAAAAAAAAACGACTTCCAGGCACTAAAATGTAAAAAATAACTAAATTGCATTAGATAGTTTATTTATTGAGGAAGGCTATAGGCTCTATATATATCATCCCGGAAAAATGTACGGTGCCCATGGGATAGAGTCGTTTTTGTATAGGGACGAACCCGAAGCGAAGCGAGAGTGAGTCGCTAGTATTTATATCAACTTATTTATAACACACATTATTGGTAGACTCAAAACAAAAAAATATGAAATAGTAAAATATATTGAATTAACTTTATATCTTGGCAAAGTGACAAATATTTAGGGTAAATACAACAAGATTTTGGCTATGAAAATGTTTATTCTAATAGCGGTAAGCTGGTGGGAATATAAAAGACATGTTTAAGGAATAAATAAATATGTTGGGATATTTACACACAGCACCATCTAGCTCCATGGTAAGCTATGAGACTTGTGTTATGGATACCAGATAGTTGATACACTACACATATATAACTTTACACACATACATATTATAAATATAAACATCCATGACTGGAGTACAAACATTCGTGCTCATCACACAAATGAATACCCCCAGCGGGACTCGAACCCGCGACCACTGGTACAGCAAGTCGGGTAACGTCTAAAGATAAATACATTTCTATCTCGTAATATTATTCAATTTTATTAGTTAACAAGCGACATACGTGCGTCCCTAGGTACGTTTTAACTTTTTTAAGCAGAACCATAATTCTTTGTTCAAAATAAAGTAGCCTAAGTTACTCCTTATAACATCAGCTATTCGCCAGTGCAAATCACGTCAAAATCAGTCCAGCCGTTTCGGAGATTTGCCGGAACAAACAGACAGGCAGACAATTTTTTTAAAAGTTGTGTTTTTCTTATAAGTATCGTATGTAATTTCATATGCATTTAGTAAACAGCTATTATTTTAACATTACAAATAGACACTTCAATTTTGTTTATATTTTATCTGTATAGATAATAAGATTCTTTCTTAGACTTACGCAAATATTTAACATTTTAATTGAAACTATTTTTTCAGGTTTTGTAGCGTTTTTTTTTTGTATTTTTGTCTATAAGAACTATACTATTCTAGATCTGAGATAGGGATCGAGATATTTTTACTATCTACACTAACATTATAAATGTGAAAATTTGTGAGGATTGATGGATGTTTGTTACTCTTTCACGCCAAAACGGCTGAACGCGTCTGGATGAAATTTGACACAGAAATAGATTATAGTCTGAAATACATACATAAGCTACTTTTTATCCTGAAAAAATGTACGGTTCCCGTGAAGTAGATTTGTTTTTATCTAGGAAAGAACCCGAACTGAAGCGAGGGAGAGTCGCTGAGCATAGCAAACGAATTTGCAGTCAGTACGTAGCTATTACAATCAAGAATAAATTACACATACAAATAACTTGTGAGATTGTGGCAACCCTGAAATCATTTTCTGCTACATTTATCAACCTGCCGTCCTCAATATTATATACGTGATGTATTCGAGAAGAATGTTTACTGTATGTATGTGTAAGATGCTGCTTAAAATAAATCAAGGTGTACTCATGATCTAGACTTACCTAATAATATCAAAGTCACAATATTCACAATAATTCGCATTATCAATATCACATCCAGTTTGAATACGAGTTTTTTGGAGTCACCAAAAATGCTTGTCTATGTCTATACATGTAATAAGATTCTTAGTCGAACCTGTGCATTAAAATATTTTTTTTTAAATCTTATTGAAATAGTCATTATTATCGATACAAAGGCCGAATCTATAGTTTTTAGAATATTTGTCTATCTGTCTGTCTAGGAACTCATCACGAGAAAACTACTGGACAGATTTGATGAGTATGACGATAGCTGGTTATCCGGGTCAACATTTAGGATACTTTTTACTGCGGAAAAAAAACTCGTCCCTGAGAAATCTATGTTAACCTTAAAACATAGTAACGAACCCAAACAGAACGAGGGTGAGTCACTAGTTATAAAACATTCATTTCATTATATTTTTAAATACATAAGCGTTCATAAATATCTTTGTTTCAATAAAAGCTTTTTGGTTAAGCTGAAATTTAACGTCAATTATATCATGAAAGACAACTTGTTTATGAATTTCATATGAATGGTTATATCCTCAAACCAAAACAATTCAAACATCAAAGTGACAGGTAAATCATATTTCAATTACTATAAATTGAATTGGTTTCGACATCATAATACGTGAATTGATTTCATTATTGTTTCGATTTAGGGAATTAAACCTTTAAGCGGAAGTTAGAATTGTAAATGGCTTCCTATGCTACTAAGTTTTCAGTAATTAACTAGATTTAGCTATTTCTGTTCCGTTATTATTTTTGGGATTTAATATCTAAGTAATTATAAAAAAGAAAGACGTTTTGGACTGTTATAAATCACAAAAAGTCAAACGAGGTTATTATAAAATGTAAAGGACACAAAATTAATTATAAAACTTGAACTGCATCATAATCGTTGTAATCTTCATATTCATTATAATCATTGTATGACTTCTTTGGTGGTCTAGTGCCTAGCATATACCTACGGCTGCAGATCAGGAGGCCCTGAATTCGAGTTCCGGGTCGGGCAAAATTTAGTTAGGTTCTTAAATTTGCTGTTAAGGAATTCTCAGTCACATTATTCAGTTACATTATAGATTATTATGTTAAATAGTAATATAATAAATAAGTTATGTAAATAAAGTTTCAAACTAAATATCTCTCTTTTGACTACATAATATTATATTGTACATGTCAAAACGAATTAAATGAACCTAAAATAGTTGGTTTTTCTAGGCCCTATTCAAAGTGCCGTAATCCATCTCCTTCATCATCAAATTAACTTAATGGTGTCCTACTATTATATTATGAAATTATCTCTTCAGTTTTTGACGCTGTTGTTGTTGTTCTGTAAAGCATTCGAAATATCGAGAACAAAATTATAATAAAACCGCTACAAAATACGATAAGATAGGTAGTTTGCATTTAAAATGTCAAATTTTCTCGTAAATCTAAGAATGTATAATTGTATTATTACTCGAATATGTAATAAATAGACTTATTTATAGCTAATGGTTTCAGTCTAATCTTTAACATTTTTAGTGTTAAAAAGTATTCTCTACATGATGTTTTTTTATTACATTAATAAATGTGAATACTTACATTTCGTCTTCAGGCAAGTTCAGTGTGATGCTACCCAAAGTGGTATCACCATATTTCAAGTGACCAAAGAATCCAACCAGTGCATAAAGTGACACCACAAAGAACATGCCAGTGCTAAGCACTCCAAGGCAGCCAATGAAGTGGGTTGGGGTCTTCATGTTGTTTTCCAACGGCATTACAACACCAATACCTTCAAAAGCGAAGATAGCAGTTTCCAAGAAAGTTGGTAGGCGTTCCCATCCAGCAAATGGCTTGCGTTCACTAAGACCGGGGATATCTTAGAATAAGTAGTAGAAAGTTATTCCCATGCCAGTTCCGACTACAAGGTTAGCAATCATGGAGAATGGGGCCAAATATTTAAGATTTCTTATGAGGTTCATTAAAATTAGAAGAGGAAGTAGCGCCACCATGTAGATTCTGATGTCGATATCGTGGGGCAGCCATTTACTGTCTTTTGCGTGGTAGTCTACAACTTGCTTGACATTCTTAGCGACAAACACGATGTAAGCGCAGCAGCAACCAAGTAAGTCGATCACGAGGAACCAATTTATCATAGCTCTGAAAAAATTAAATTACGGACAAGCAACAGAAAGTTGCTAGTCTTGAATACACTGACTACTGCAACATAACAATAATAACATATGAGAATTTTTTTTTATATTTTGATCGGCTGCCCTAGACGCGCGGCCTTATTTATATAGAGGACTTACATGTGGTAGAGGTACTCAACAGAATGCAAGGTATCCCCCTTATGTTAATCTGCCACGCTTGAGTAAATCCAAAAATTCCCTCTTGGGCTCCCCTACTAGGCCGAAACCGCTAAACAGATTTCGATAAAATTTGGCATGGACATAAATTTTACATTCAGACGATAGATATAGGCCAGCTATGAGTATAATCTTCACCCCACTTACAACGCAAGCGAAACCGCGGGCAAAGCTAGTACGATATATAGCATCAACATATAAGTACGTATAGATAGCATCAACACGTCATTCCTTGTCCGTCTGTTCATATTATAACTGTTTGCTTTTCAGGATAAGTTCTTTTTTTGTGGTGGCTAATACATCTACAAACAGCTATTCACAGAGGTTCAAAGTGTTTCTCATTAAAAAATCACGCTGCCACCTTTGCGAGCATTAAAGTTTTGACTATAATACGGACTTCTATTTAACCAAACTAAATCTTGGGACTTAGATAAGATGTCATTCTACAATCATTTAAAATACAAAAAAAATGATTATGACATGAAATCGTAATATTACATCTAATATTTTCTAAGGTTTAAACAATTATGTGACATTTAAAATAAAAAAATCGTTTTTTTTTGCGGTTACATTTTGTTTTTTTTAATCCAGAGTATTGAAGAATACTTTACAGCATACATGGCCTAAAAATCATAGTTACATTAAGAGCTGATCGTTTTATAACTATAGGTACATCTATACATATAATAAAATTGAATATATTTCAATCTGTACATTAAATATTATTTTGGAAAAATCTTATTGATACAATCAATATTAACGATACATAGGCCAAATCTATAGTTTTTTTTTGAATTATTGTCTGTTGTCTATCTGTCTGTCTAGGAACAAATCACGAGAAATCTACTGGACAGATTTTAATAAAATTTGGTATGACAATTGACAACAATTGGGTATGGTTATCCGGGTCAATATTTAGAATACTTTTTAATGCGGGAAAATATCTCATCTCTGAGAAATCTATACTAACCTTAAAACTTAGGGACGAACCCGAGCGAAGCAAATGTGAATCGCTAGTTCCATTAATAAAACAAAAAAAAAACATTTTTATACTGACATAAAATAAAGCGTCGACTTAACAAAGGTTCTAAATATTTAATGGCTCATTATTTCCTCTATAAAAGTCTAACCACATTGAGTCATAAAATAGAAGGTAGCAGTTATAATCATGGGCACCATAAACATGTTATGGTATATCGCTCTATATCTTTTGTATTCAATTCCCATAATTTTTGGTATAAGTGATTTTTCGATAAACTTTGCCGCAGACTATTTTAATAGAATTGCTACGTCGAATCTTTGTTGTTTAGTCTGTGGAAATATAATTTGTAAGTATATACGTTTATCTATAATATCTATCATTGTGGATTTTGATAACTTGAGTATTTGTGCTTCGTGTAATTACTGAGCTAATTTTATTAAAACTTTTGAAATTACAAACTTTGAAATTGCGTATAGAGTGGTATACTACATACTTTCTATATCAGAAAAAAATAGATATCGTCCTGATACAACAGAATTGAGGAGGTACTTTTTGAAAAAATTTGATAATATAAGAGAAGTTATAGGCAAAAACTTGTATTAAATATTAATTATAACGAAAATCGATACAGCAATTTCATACCTTCTATGAAAGTTTTTATTGGCCAGGTTTATGTTGTAACATAAATATGAACCTCAGTCGTCCCGAAGATTACAAAGAAATAAAAGGACACGAAAACAATGTTTGACAATTATTGGGTTTTAGTGCCATTGAAATAAGCAACTGCTTCATATAAAGATATAGATACGTTTTAACGTTTAGAATAGATTTCTCAGAGATGAAATATTTTCCCGCAATGAAAAGTATCCTATATGTTGACCCGGATAACCAGCTATCATCATACCTTTCATCAAAATCTGTCCAGTGGCTTACTCGTGAATGCGTTCCCAGATAGACAGACAAAAAATCGAAAAACTTGACATTCACCCTCTGTATCAATAATAATAATTATTTGAATAAGATTTTCCAAAAAAAAAAAATGCTTAGTTAGAATTTTATTATATGTATATAAAGATATTTAATAATAACATTTTACTTTTATAACACAAACTTTTCAGGGCCTGCAAAATTTGTGAAACACGCTTATATGAAAAAACTAAAAGTTTCACACGTAAACATCGATAAAGTTGGTATAAACCAAACTGTTGAACTGAAGGCTTGTTTGAAACAATATTTTACCCCGATCGGTGTACTTATCGATCCAAAATGTACACAATTCGAAAATATAATGATGCAAGTAGGTACACGTAATTTAATTTAATTAAGTAGTTACTTTCACCTAGCGACTGCTGTATACAGCCCTTTTTTAACATCCCACTGCTGGGCATAGCCTACCTTCAATACGAGGGTGACCAGACCATTGTCCACTGTGCTAAATGCCTTTTAGCAGACTACATGCCTTGGCAAACTTGTTGGGTTCTCTTAAAAATGCAGGTTTCCTCGCAATGTTTTTCTTCACCGTAGACAAGTCAAATGGTATTCATGCTGAAAATGATGAGAATATCAAGGGTTCGAAACCCGGAGTTTGAACCCGATTCACTAGCTTTCCCAAGCAAGTGCATTACCACTGAGCTATCTCTATCCTACTATTACGTAGCGACTTACCCTGACTGAAATACATACACTGAAATGCTTTATAATTTTAATTTGTTTATGATTGTGATCTGTATCTGTCTCTATCTTTATCTGTGCAGCAAAATGGCTTAAAGATCTGGAGCTTTTTATTTAATGTTTGTATTAACTTGCTTTCTTGTCTGTTTGTTTTCAATGCCGCAATCGATATTAAATCTATATTTCTGATGATGTATGACCAATAGATAAGATACTAAAAATAATATATATACACATACACGAACATACCATATATATATATATATATATATATATATATATATATATATATATATATATATAAATAATTATATAAATAATTCATACCGAATAGCGATATGACAATCAATGGACTTCTAATTATTATAAAATAGCATTATTCCATCTATACAATAAAATTAAAATACAATTTAAGGTTTCAACCGAAGAATTATTTGATACTTATCACAAATATCTCATTATTGAAGAAAATACGTCTAATTCATCAATAGAAGATATAAAAGCCTCAGGAAGATTAGAAAATACAGACAATTTTGAAAAAATCCATCTTGCAAGCGCTGCGATCCTTCATAGCCTTAACCTGAGTATAGACGCCGAAATCGCAGTGGCTACAACAAAAGGTATTATTAAAGCAGTTCAAACATTTTTCTCTGGGTTGTGGCAGTTGTCACCCACCCTTTGCCATTTTTTATCAATTAGTTTAGATATCATTTTTACTCTTAAGTATTTTTCTTGTTTACATTATGGCCGTTGGCGATTATTTGAATTTATTTATATAATTGTACGTCTTTTTATGTCACTTTTTGACCGACTTCCAAAAAGGAGGAGGATCTCAATTCGTCGGAATCTTTTTTTTTTACTCTTTTTTTAGTCAACAACGTAATTCATGATAAGGTCTTAATTAAAAATGTTAAAGTATTAAAAGGTTGTGTGTAAATATGTGTGTGCCTACAACATGATACCCTTAATGTGAACATATTAGAGAAATCATATTTTGTTTCTCCTCCTCATTTTTGAGATCGGTCAAAATGTAAAATTTTAAGTACTTACACTAACCCTACTCGCCACTCTCGGTTCATACAAGCATTGCTCTATATTATATTAACTTCCCATGGCATCCATATATATACTCTTTATTGCACATTAAAAACAAAAGTTACAACTATTAAGAGAAAATTGAAGGCAAAGGTGGAGGTGGTATCTCTAAAAGAGATCTCTTCCAGTCAACCTAGGAGGTGAGAAAGATTGTCATTTAGCGGAGCAGAAAAGTGCAAGGTAATATGGAAATAAAGTACAAAAAAAACACAGTATTTAGAAAAATAACATACTACATATAGTCTTAGTATAATAAATAACACAAACATATAAGTATATAAAATACATAGATAACAATAATAATTATAATACCCATATACATTTTATACCATCCATTTGATGTATGTAAATCAAATTAATATATATCTATGAAAAAATCATTTTATGCCGTATAGTATCTGCGTTAAAAGAGGACCAGTACCACACTTTCGCATTTAAAATATTAAATATGGATTAGAAAATTGAAATAAAAGCTTTCCCAGCCTTTTTGAGTTTAGGAAATTTCTTTGAATTTGAGATAATAATTTTCTATAGCTTTTCCTAAGAGAAAATTTTATTAAAATGTCTATTTAAGTATTTCTATCTAATATAATACTAAGCCTTAGAAGTTATTTGATTCATTGTTTATAATTTTTTTGTGATTCATTACTTATTATTATTTTTTTAATAACAGTGTAACTGATCGCTGTCTCTACATGGATGATATTTGAGAAAAACTATTATGGGAGTGTCTTTTTTTAACGCAAGATACGCCAAAACAATTATTTTTAGAATTTTTGTCTGTTTGTTTGTGCGTTTGTGTGTGCTAATCTCAGAAACGGCTTATCCGATTTGGATGCGGTTTTCACTTATGTATTGTTGTAAGCTTCACTTAAAATTCAGTATTTATTTTATTTCAAGCGGTTCATAAATAAAAAAGTTATGTCAATTTAAAGAATCCCCCAGGGACGAACCCGAGCGAAGCGAGAGTGAGTCGGTAGTCTCTAACTATAAGTTAATATTTCACAGATTTTTCTACGTACAATATTTATGAAGTCTTCAATTTTGGCAAAATGCGTGGAGGCAAGTTTGTCATACAGAGCATGGGAGATTGGAATATAAGGACAGGTCAACTAAATATTTTTTTAATTTTGTTATAGTAATAGATAATTTAATTTGGGGTTTGTTTTATTTTGTTAGTAAATATGAGCATAACTTTATACAAATGTAATGTTAAAAAATAGCACTTAACTTATCAATAAATGCTATATGTTACACAAAATTTTTGTGACTTAAATTATTATTATTAACAATATATTGAACTTAGTTATTACTAATAAATAATTACGGAATTTATCAAAATCAGGTTCTTTCTTTATTGAATAATCAAAAATATAACTATAATCAATATAGGTACAAAAATATTACTATCAATTTTTTTTATTACTTGGCACTACTCTTGAAATTTAAACAGCAAATAAAATAATAAATTAAAATAATATCATGAAAATCGGTTCAAATTTGAAAAAGACGTACACAATAAATCAAACATCCAAATGGATTAATGTTCTAGACCTCTCTCTTCTTTGTATACTAATATAAAGCAGATTTTTTTTTGAGTCAGTTAATAAATAAAACTTTTTTATACATAAAAAACTTCCAACACAAGTATCTTTGGATTACTTATTGGGAAGACTTGCACATACTTATTGTTAAGCAGAATAAGAAATAAAACTACTTTTATTTAAAAAAAATACATTAAAAAATATAACATATATTTTTGTGTTTTTTGTATATAATCGTATTACATACACAAAAAAACAGCAACAAATAGTTTTAGGAAAATAATAAGCTTTTACAGGTTTGAACTTAACAAAAATATATAAATACTACCGTAGATGGGATTTCCAGCAGATGGCTCTCAAAATGGTTATAGCTGTAAGTAATCTAATTTTTGATAATTCTTGTAATATTCAGTTTATTTATACTTTTAAATTGTATTTGGGTACGTTGAAGCACCATTTGGTTAAGTTATTTTTAAGCAACGTGACGTAGACTAACGTATTACCCTTTTTCTGTCAGGCTTTTTTTCACATGTCGTCATGTATAGTATGATTTTTTCACCGATAAATGTTACATCTGGGGCTGTTAGGAAATTAAAGTTTTTTTTTTCATTTCAAAAATCCCAGTAAAACCCCTCTATATTCCCACAGTAAGCAAACATAATGGTGCAGTGTAAAGAGCACTCTTTACTTTGTTCATAGTTGAGGGATCGATGCTCATGCTTAGTTATTACTCAATTGAATATATACCGTTCCTATAAAATATATCATCGTCTAAAGATTAACGTCCAACATATTATGCAGAAAAGTATATAACGGAATTTATCATATAAGACTGCTACTTACTAGTCCAAAAGATTAGTAGTCTAGTCAACAAGTGCCTTTTTAGACAACTATTTTCAGCAATCTCGGAAAAATATGAACGAAATGTCATTCGATTTGGAATGGCTTGTAGATGATTTTCGAAAAAAATCAAGTACCGCTTGCAAAAATTGCAAAAGTTATAAGCAGTTAACTAAAAAAATTGGGTTTAGTTCTTGCAAATATTTCAAAAACTAATTGAGATTTTTTAAATCTAAAAAAAGATTTAAAGAGAGGAGGAAATTATCTAAAAAAAATATCTCGACTCCTGGAACTGTAGGACCGTATAATGCGTTCATAAAAAAAGAAACTCTTTGGCTTTAGATATTTTGACATTTTAACATACATTTTATTTATACAGATACAACCAATTCCAAAAGTGTTTGATCCGGAGATGATATTAGGCAGAATCCCTGGACCAGGCGTATCTATCCTCCAGCAAACCAGTGCTCAAATATTGCATGAATTAGCCGATGTGCATAATCTGAAGTACATATTTAAATCAAGTATTATCTTTTCGGATTTTTTCGCGAATTTATTTTGTTTTTTAATTGTGGTTAGGCTGTCTGTAACAACTATACCTTCAAGACATGTAACACCTCAGTCTCTCCCGTGACCATGGATGCTGTAAAGCATTTGAAACGTCGGGAACCAAAAATCAAAATAAATTCGCGAAAAAATCCGAAAAGATAGTTTTATTTAAAATGTCAAGTATTCGCGTAAATCTAAGAAAGTATTAAATAAAGTATTTTTAACAAAATAACTTATGAGTTTTTGAAATTGTATATCAAAACTAAATCCTTATTTAAATAGTCATTATTATCGATACAGAGGCCGAATCTATAGTTTTTAGAACGTTAGTCTGTCCATCTGTGACCGCATCACTAGAAAACTAGTGAACAGATTTTAATGAAATTTGGTATGATGATGAGTTGCTTATTCGGGTCAACATTTAGAATACTTTTTACTGCGTGAAAATATCTCATCTCTGAAAAATCTATACAAAACGTTAAAACGTAACGATGGTGAATCGCTAGTGTTACAATAAGTTTGTGTTTTTTCCTAGATACGACATTACTGTGGTTGACCGATGGGTTGGTGACTACAATAGAAAACATAAAAACGTAAGTGTGCCGTGAAACAACAACAAGAAATTAAATAAAAAATTTAAAAACCCCAGCAGAATAATCCATTCATTGAGACCATTTCAACGAGCCTAAACAGGATACCTCTGCAGTACCTTAACGAGGAGTTGAGTATCTTGCAGGTTCCAAGTGACGCTGCAGCATTAGGCCAAAGTTACCATACCATTGCAATATCATTGCAGTAACGGGATAGGTACTAAGTTTCAAATGGTTTAGATCTATGGAAGTTGTTCATATCCTTTTACCGTATAGAAAACAGCTGATAGCCTAGAAAACTACGGAACAGATTTTCTTGATGTATAACTAAGAATAATCTCGATTAAATCCCTTTCAAAGAAAAAACTTAATCAAAATCCCCGTTTGCGCGCTACGATGCCACAGACAGACACAGATACACATGTTAAACTTAGAAGACCCTTCTTCTTGTGTTGTAGGTTAAAAACTAAGTGATTAATGAGAAACACTTAAACTTTTATGGAATTCGAAGTCCCATAAAAACAATTCTTATTTATAAATGAATAATTATCATATTAACAGCTTATGAACGAAAATTCAAAAATTATTATCAGTTTAGATGAATAAACAATTTGTTATAATTTTTTTCAGGCTGTTGCAAACTCTCTGTATTTCCGTGAGTCAGACATAGGTCCAATTCTAAGGATATTGCCAGCTCACTTTGACAGATATGATGTACTTCATCCACCTGTTACTTACGTAGAGTGAGTATTGAAACTTTATCTCAACTTTATTATTCGTCTTGACCCTCTAATGAAAATAAAAGAGGAATATAGCCAAATCTTTAACAAGTTGTTTTGTAACATGATTCATTAATTATAACAGTATGTATGTTTATGAATATTGAAATTGTGGAAAATGTTCAACAAATTTAGATGAAACTTTTAGCACATGTGTAGACCATGTACTGAATATACAATATTCTTAGTTTAAAAAATATGATTGACGGTTAGAAATTCTAAGGTGGATTGCATGTGGCAAATTATCATCAAATCTTCAATGATTGCTACTGCTTCTTCCAACTGATTGATTTAAAAAGCTTCATACGATTATTTTCTCTTCTTATTTTTCTATAGCGTAAGATACTTTTACAAAATCCCGACTAAAGGTGTAGGAAAGTTTGAAAACCAGTTCCTACGTCCATTATCACTCGGCTCATGGTGGTGTGTGATCTTAATTTCGGCATTATGTGGACTTGTATTTATGTTATCTGCTGTTGTGGAAGATCGTCCAATATCTGCAGATTTCGCTATTTGCTCTGTTTTAGCTTTGATTTGTCAACAATGTAAGTATATATAGTAAAAGTTCAATATCTAATATTATAAATAAAAGTCAGTGTTTGTTGTTATTCTACTTTTAAGTATTAACAAAATAACGGGATGACGGGATTTTAGTAGTTTTTTTTTATGTAATTTCATTTGTCTATTTGTTTATGTCTATTTTATTTTTAATGGCAACCAGTTTTCCTGTGTCATTATTTAAAAGATAGCTCTAGCTATATTTTTCTTTAGGTCAATATGTAATATGTGTAATCCAAATTGGCAGAAAAACTGAAATTTTAAGTCAATTCGACTACTGTGTATTATTAGCCTTAAAGGAAAATATTATGCTACGTTGTAACAGCTAGTACGGAATAGACTAAATATTATATTACTGCTTCACACTCCCTTAGGTAGTAACATGATGATATATGTATATAGCCTATAGCCCTCCTCAATAAACGGGCTATCTAATGCAAAGAGAATTTTTCAAATCGGAGAAGTAATTCCAAAATAAAGAAATAAACAAACAGACAGACGGATAGGTATACGGATGGACGGATGGATGGATAGATAGACAGACCGAACAATTTAATTTTGTTAATAAGATTATAAACAAATATAAAATTACCATAATCGTCTACTTCTAAGACGTATGTATATTTTATATACAGATGACCAAAGACCAAATTCTTAGGTTTTACGTATTAGTATAGCCGTATATTGCAGTTTTTGTATTTTTTCTCAGAAATGAGATATTTTCCCCCGGTAAAAAGTATCCTATATGTTGACCCGGATAACCAGCTATCACCATACCAAATTTCATCAAAATCGCCCTAGCGGTTTTTCCGTGATGCGCTAACAGACAGACAGACAAAAATTCTAAAAACTATAGATCCGCCCTTTGTATCGATAATATTGTCTATTTCAATAAGATTTTCCAAGAAATATTTAATGTACAGATTCAGCTTAATTAGAATTTAATTATATGTATAGATTATAATGAGGCAGCACTTTTATTATACATTTACATTTTTTTCCAATTGCTCTTTGAAATCTGCATTTTGCTTAACAGTCTAGTTTCTGAAATACAGAATTTATTCCTTACCATGGAAAGGCTTATAGTAGAATTTCGTGGAACTAATTTTGGGTGATAATAAATACATGCAACATTAATATTATATGTGTTATTACAGTTTTCGAAGAATTTGAAGACTTAAGGCGGATATCATCAGGTATTTTTATTATACTATTTTTATTGTTTATAAAAACTACTCAAATGTGTATAGCGACGTAATATTTTAATACTATAAATATAAGAATAACTCTGCTGAATGCTTATATACATACTATTAGTTTGCTTAACAGATTTCGATAAAATTTGGTAGGAATTTATACGTATTGATTGCATTCTGAGATCGGACATATAGACCCTTAAACTCTGCCCGGATTTCAGAAAAATTCTGTCAATATTTATTACATTCCAATTATAAATAGGAAATTTTATATGTGTGTTTGTAACTCCTTCGCGATGAAAAAGCTAGACAAGTTTGGATAAGGTCTAGTACATACATACATACATAGTTAGACTATAACTTAGAATAGCATATTCCCAAGGCAGGTTGACGTCAGGCAGGCGGCCGGTCGTAAAACTTTTGCCAAATCCTATCAGCAGTACAAAAGATGTACTGCGCCGACCCCAAGTGATTGGGAAATGGTCAGGGAGAAGAAGAACTTACAATAGCATATAGAATAAAGTTAGTAGTATAACTTGGCCAAAGGTGGCGCTGCAATTTCTAATATATTTAAACGAGCAATTTTTGTATATTTATACCGGTGATCTCGGAAACGGCTCTACGATTTCGCTGAAATTTGGTATGTGGAGGCTTTGAGGGGCGAATCCCGATCAGATACAAAGTTTTTACTTTAGTTTTGTTTTTTGTATATATTCAAAAAAAAAAAATAGTACTTTTGGCCAAAAACTCCGAGCGCAACTCGGTCTCCCAGGTACTATAATTTATACGCATAAATACACTAGAGAGTATAAGTTATTAGTTTTAATATAAAATTAACTTATTCATATGTTAATTTTGTAGCCCGGAAATTAACAACGTTAGTGACTGGTCTGTCTTGCCTTTTGATATACAACTACTATACCAGTAGCGTTGTTAGTTGGCTTCTTAACGGCCCCCCTCCTTCCATTAATTCACTGTGGGAGCTCCTTGATAGTTCCCTTAAACCAATATTTGAAGATATTGGATACACACATTCATGGTTACAGGTATTTATATGTACGCTGCTAAACAACTTATGCCCGATTTCACCCACGTCACGTAAGTTTAAGGGATCCCCTAAGCATGGTTAGGGGGCTGTTAGGGGACAGTTTCTGTTTCACCGACAGTTACCTAAATGTAGGGTCACCTAAATGTTAAAAGGCCCCCTAAATTTAGGTGCTCGAAATATGGGCTTAAAGACGATGGTAAAACGAAATTTAATTTAGGGGCTAGTTTAGGGGAACTTTTAAGCTAGGGATCCCATACGTAGGTGGTAGCTTATGAGTTGTTGGTGAAATTGGGCATTACTCAACTAGCTATTAATTTAAATATTTTAACAGGTTTTTCTTAAATGGAATTTAACGATATGTGATGAGAAGAAAGATGGGAATGAATTTAGATGGATGGATGGACTAGTAATAAGAGAGAGTGGAAGAGGAAGGTGCACTGCTCCGATCCCTAGTAATTTGGGAAATGGTCAGGGAACTGACAATTTTATCTAATTATTTTATATATAATATCTTATATAACATCTAATTATTTTATATAATCATTTTATATACGAGTAATATCTTGAAAATATGTATAATCTAAAATACACACAAAAATAGAAACTTTTTAAGTACCTCTTGCTTTTTGAAATGGATCAAACATACTCTAACTATTAAAAAATCCTTTTAGAATTGTACTGCAAAGACAATAATATTTATCAGACTTTCTTTATCGATATTTAATATTTTTATTGTATTGTAATTTCAGCTACCAGATTATTATTTTAATGAAAAATGGACTAAAGCTGAAGACGAGTTTAAGAAGAGACTAATAAAAATGCAGAAGAAAGGAATAAAAATTGTTACAACTGTAAATGAAGGTATAGATTTAGTTAAAAAAGGAGGTGAGTGTCGGACACATATAAGCCAATTTATTTGCTGGGTAAATAGATTAAAATATTATACCTAAGTTATTAATACTTTCTTATATTTACGCGAATATTTGACATTTTAATTTAATAAAACTATATTTTCGGATTTTTTCGCGGTTTTATTTTGAATTGCTTGGTTACGAATGCTTTACAACTGTCATGGTCACGGGAGAGAAACTCAGTCTCTCTGAAAAGATAGTTTTATTTTAAATATAACACCTATCGTCAATACTGAATTAATAATAATAATAAACATCTTGAATGATTTCGGCCTCGGTGGCCGTGAAGTAATATTATAGGGAAGTGCGTATGTGCGTAAGCGCAAATACAAACGCACTGTTTATTACTTTCACTCTTAAAATCCGATGGCTGTATACAGCGTCGCGATCGGTGAAGTTTCAGGCACAGAACCGATTTCAAGTGGTTTCGGAGCACGAAATGATTTCATTGTAAACCTCCACACTTCGAGCTTCTACTGAGGTTTTTTTTTGAAAAGCTGAATATCTATACCAGGCTCGACTTAGAAGTCGAACCCAGGACCTACGAATCTGCTTCTTCGGGGGCACTCAATAAATCTGTTGTATGATGATACATAACGCTATAAATTAATCTTGATCAAATCATGACAAATTTATTAATGTATTATCATTACAAGAATGCTAATATAATGAAGTCGCTTTTAAAAATTGGAAATTTGTTGAAACAAACTCCACTAGATGGCATTGTAGGTATCGATTTATTTATTGATGTCCATACAATAATAGTACATTTAAGTAGACATTCATTAATTTAATACTAATATTTACCTGAAAATAAATTATTTGATGGCTAATTAAATAGATCTTTCTAAAATACTTATATTTTGTTTATTATTGAGTTGAACTGATGTTGATGTTCAATAACTACTAGTAAAACCTTCGAGTTTGGGCTCCTTTGAATCGTTTTGATGTACCACAGACAGTATAGATAGTTAAATGGTATTTTTATATCTATATGTACTCTAGTATTCCCATTTCTCTAGGTTACGTGTTTCATGCTGAATTACATGCAGCTTATGCTAAAATATCTCAAACTTTCACAAAGAGCGATCTTTGCGAATTGGGATCTTTAGCTTCTATGGAAACGACTTTACTCTATTCTGCTGTACCTAAACGCAGTGCGTTTAGAGAATTTTTTATATGGGGGTGAGTTTTGTAAATATTTTAAGATAAAAAATACAAAAATGTATGTTGGAAAACTTTATACGTTTTTCAAAAAGTACAATCCAATATTCTCTCAGGTACAAGTAATTAATTATAATTTTGTAGATAATAACCGAGTAATTTGAGTTTGATCTTAGCCTGATCCTAGGCTAACAGTGGGACATGAAAACGTTCGAATTATCTATACTAATATTATAAAGAGGCCGAGTTTGTTTGTTTCTTTATTTGTAAGCGCTAATCTCAGGAACTACTAATCTGATTTGAAAATTTCTTATTACATTAGATAGCCCGTTTATTGATGAAGGCTATAAGCTATATATCAACATGCTACTACCGAAGGGAGCGGAGCAGTAATCATAAATGTCAGCAAATCGGGTAAACTTCCATACATTAGCAAAGGGAAGTCTGGAGACAAACCCAAGCAAAACCAGTCTGAGTCGCTAGTTGAACATAAAGAAACAGAAACTCGATTATTTAGCACAATCAAATAGTAATAAAAATTATATAGTATATTATTTTTTGTTTTAGCTTATCCCACATTAGCGAAAGAGGAATAATTAATATAGTACAACTACGCACATGGCCTCAAGTAATGAAATGTGAAGGTAGTTCTCCTCAAGCGCTCGCGTTGGGTGGTGCGGCACCAGCTTTTATTATTTTAGCTGCAGGATTCGTCCTTGCCGTCTTTATTATGATTCTAGAGAGGTGATTGTGTGAACTGACTTAAAAGTATTAACATTTAGAAGATATGGAGCTCAAGTCACATAATTAATAGCATCTGGGAGACCGGCGTTTTCCCGAAGGATGCTAAAATTCCTTTTATTTCAGAAAGGACACCTATCTATATAAATAATAAAATTCTGAATCGAATTTGCACATTAAATATTTTTTGGAAAATCATATTTAAATAGTCATTAATATCGATACAAAGGCCGAACCTAATAGTGTATAGATGAACACTTAGCAACAAACAGAAATGAATAAGTTTAGAAGAACGTGACATATATTACAGATTTGATTCTATATTGAAATTATTTGGACACAACATTTTTTTAGGGATTCGAGCCCCGCAAGCGGAACAGAACATCAATCCCAAAAGCGAAACAAGTCATCAATCCCTTGGACCCTGCATATTTGTGGGATCCCATGTGTGTATGTCGAGAATCCCTAGTCTTTATATATATGTATATCTCAAATAAATATTTCTTTTTATTACAGGCTGAAGTGGAAATTTGATATGGCAAGAGCAAACAATCGCAATATGCTCAATATAAATAAGTAAATTCTGGGTTCGACCTCTAGAGAAAATTTATATTGATCATACAAATAGGTACTTTAGTTTTAGATGGACTGTATGTTTCACTGTGTGTCTGTTTATTTATAATATATGTCTTCTACTTTCAATTTCTGAAACACTGGTTATGTTTTCTCTTCTATAATTGATCGTAGGTACCCTAGAAATATTTAAATACTAGCGGCTCACCCTCGCTTCGCTCGGGTTCGCCGCTAGGTACGTTTTAAATAGATATAAATAGTTATTAGCCAGCGTTAGCCATTTTTTTAGTTAATTTTTATTTTTTTCTCTTTATTAAAGCCTTCCGTGGACCTTAAGGAACATACGAAAAAACCGAATTGGTCCAGCCATTCTTGAGTTATGCGCTTACCAACATTCATATATATATAAGTTATATATGTGTAGTGTACCAACTATCTGGTATACATAACACATTATTAAATTATGCACGTAGCTTTCTCATCTTCTGTACCAAGATACTAATAATGTAATAAAAACAAATAAATATACAGAATCAATAAAATACCTATCTTTATTTTTCGACCTTTTTAAAGTTTCACCTTTTTAAATATCTAGGTATCTTTACTTTCATTCACCTATATAATATTATAATTAATGGAAACGTATGATATTTTGTTCTGATATTTGACATTAGTTTTTACACGATCAGAATTTACGTACCTACTTAAAATTTCATGTTTTTTTCTGACCATCCCGAAAACGGTGTACTCTATGTCAAAGGGAAGTTTAACAATACAATTTAAATTTCTAAGAAATTGAATTTGTTAGTTAAAAAAAATATTAAACCTCCTTTTTTAGAAAGTCGGTTAAAACGAATTAAACTTAACTTTTTAACACAAACATATAGTTTAAATTAACTTTAAAGTACTCTACATATAATATATTTATGTTTGAACTTGACATTAATATTTCGAAAGCACATTATAAGGAGAAATCACTTGCCGTAAAAAAATATACCTGTATAAAAATACTGGCGTTAAATCCGTTAAAACGTGGGTTTCATTTAAGATAACGAAAAAGGGATTTTGGAAGGAAAATATTTTAATAACGGCAAAAACGATTACACAGTCTGATGCAGAGCTGTTGGATTTACATATTTATCCCCTTGGCACGAAGCCATGAGCTGCAGCAATCGAAATAAATTTCATTCAACTAACAAATTAATATTAAAAATTGAAAATCAAATTAATCATTTTAAGTATAAATAGGTAAATACAAAATAGTTCAATGACTTTTTCCCATGGGTTTGTCAACCGATTTGCTTTTTTTTCGTTTAGTTGCTGTTGAGGAGGTTTAGAGTTATCAATAAATAAAATTTGGAAATAGTTAGTTTTTAGGGTTCCGTACCCGATGCGAATGAAACCCTATTACTAAGCCTCCGCTGTCCGTCCCTTCGTCTGTCAGAGGGCTGTATCTCATGAACCGTAATAAGTATAGATGAAATTTTGATGTATGAAATTTGAATAGAGTATGTATTTCTATCGCCGATAACAACAAATAATAAAAATAAATAAAAATAAAAAGTAAAAATAGAAGAAACAGTTCCTAATCGATCATCGAAGTCAATATATTAATAAAAAGTACATGTACGATGGTACGGAACCCTTTGTGTGCGAATTCGACTCGCACTTGATCGATTTCTTATTGGTTATATTGATAAGTAAATTCTAATTATATAATTTTTTCTCCACTTTTCAATAATGTTTTAGGTTGAACTTCGACCACTGGGGCGAACACTGCTTATTATAAAATCGACTGAAAGCAGCAGTTATCTATAGCTGGTTAAGCGTTGATTTATTAACATACTGGTGTAGAGGTATAGAATAGGTCCTGGGTTTAACTCCTGTGTTAGTCTAAAAGAGTTATGGAAGTTTCGAAGTTGGTAAGCCGCCGTGTTTTAGAGACACGTAAATTCATTAGTCCTGCGCCTTTCTCTCTCAGATCATCTCAAAGCCGGACTGTAAGTAGGTATTATTTTTCTTTGAGGTACAAAATATGCTAAATCATGAAAATCGTTTTAACTTTTTAGAGGAAAAAGACTTAAGAACATATGTACATACATGTACAGGAATTTTATAAAATAGAATTTTGCATGTCATATTTTTCCCACATTCCTCTTTTTTAAAATTTACATTGTCATTTTATTGGCTGGTGTCCAAGACCTTATCCTGTCAAGGAAATAAAACAAATGACCACGAATCTTGCATGAGTCTTTTATATATTACATACATATATAAAATATGACAGTAACATCACTAAGTTCTCATTTTTTAATGATAGCTTTATCCGACCTTTTACAAACTTTTGACGAACTTGAAGTACGTCTCTGTTCTATTAAAATTGTATCTAAATAAATATAAGTAATGTTGGGATTAACATAGCACCATCTAGTTCCAAGGTAAGCTACGAGGTTTGTATTATGGACCAGATAGTTGATATACTATACATATATTAATACATACATATTATACATATAAACACTCATGACTGGAAAACAAACATTCATGCTCATCACATAAATGAATGTGCCCAAGTGGGATTCGAACCCGCGACCGCTAGCGCATCAAGTACACACTTCAAACTGAGCCAAGCGTTTCGTCTTAAACATATATACTACATAACGAGTTAATATGTAGATCTACATATCTATATTAGCTTAATCGTTATCAATTATATCTTTTAATTGTGATACCTGTGTGTTTTTCTACCTACATAAATAATATAAATTCAACGTGATAAGGTTAAGGCAACTAAGCGTGAACAGGTTGTTAGAACCGTATTATAAAGCTGGCCACTCCACACACACTCCAGCACTGTCTCCGCCAGACGATCTCCAACAAATGTAATTCCTTCAAAAACCATTTCGTACGCGACTTACACGGTCTCATTTCTAGAATCGGCTTAGCAAAAATTGTTATTTAATTTTCGGTAAAATGTTGTAAGTAAAAAATTCATTTTTGTTAACATGCTGAGACCCTCACAGGTGCTGATTTCCCTTGCGATAGCGCGGGTCACGTCACGCAGTTTCATACCCATTTCTTACGAATTATTTTTCACTAGATACCCAACCTGACTTTGCCCAGTTGGGAAATGACAATCATACAAAATACTTTAAAGTTTATCTAATTTACTTATCGCACTACTAATATATGAGGTTTTGTATGTATGTATATTTGTTAATCCTTTACGCTGAAATGGCTATCGGATCTATACATATAATAAAACTGTACAGATCGAATGTCTGCACTATGAACTAACTTAATATGAAAATAAAATTAATAAAATAAGAAAAACAGTAATATGAAAATAAAAATTTTAGTTTTTGCGTCTAATTGGCCGCTGAAATATTCAAGGAAAGCAATGAATTACAATTGACTAAAAATCGCTATAATTTGTTATCTCCATGTTAGCTCTAACTAATATAAGTATATAATTTGATAAAACCATAAAAGTTGCTGTATTTTACCATCAAATCTTAACAAAATTTAAAAAACAGTAATATGAAAATAAAAATTTTAGTTTTCGCGTCTGATTGGCCGCTAAAATATTCATATAGGTCGCCAGATAGTCCCGGTTGAACATAAAATATTTAAGTTTAATAACTTTTTGAACAAACTTGTTTTCATTTTTAGGGTTCCTTACCCAAATGGTATTTTTTTCTTGCCTATAAAACATTTCATGATTTTTTTAAATAAAATGGAAATACGTATTTAAAAAAATACTTACAAAAATAAAAACTAATTGGTTTTTATCTTCTATATGATGATGTTCTCCTAGCCGATTCCGGCTACGGCGGCCAATCTCATTGAGACTAGCCAACTGCGCAGGAGATATTATAGTGCACAAGTGTACGCGCAGACACAAATGCACTCTCTATTCCTGTCACTCTCATACTCCGGTGGGACGACTGCTCGACACGACCAGTGAGAGTTAAGGCGCAGGACCGACGGCTTTACGTGCTCTCCGAGGCACGGGGGTGAAACACCGCCAACTTCCCAACTCCGGGCTGTTACTGAGACTTACTATACAGAAAGACTCAATAACTAAAGTTGACCCGACCCGGGACTCGAACCCAGGACCTCCACTACACCACCGAGGCAGTTAATCTTCTATATACAGGTTGATCCAAGAAGTAAAGTCATATTTTTTTTAGATTCCTGGGTGTATCCAAAAGTACCCCATATATGTTCTGCAATTTTTCGTAGTTTAGATGTTATGATTTTTTAATGTGTATTTGCGAATATTCTACCTTAACAAATAAAAAAAAATCATAACTTGTTTAATAGTAAACAATTTTTGGTTTCTTTTTAATATAATAATTGTCTTGAATAATCTTTTCGGATTTTTTCGCGAATTTATGTTGATTTTTGGTTCCCGACGTTTCGAATGCTTTACAGCAATCATGGTCACGGGAGAGACTCTCCCGTGTTGTTATTGTTTTATTTAAAATGTCAAGTATTCGCGTAAATCTAAGAAAGTATTATGTCTTAAATCACTCTTTCGTACGTTATAAACAACTAACTCGAAAACGTTATTTATTACAAGTTACCAAAAAAAGGGTCGAAAGTGAAAATTTTAGATTTGAGTTGGACAAAGTTAAATTTTCAAAATTCTCTTAACAATACAAAATGAAAGTTACATAGATTCAAAGTACTTTTTAAAAACTTCAGCAACTTATCTGCTTACTAAATAATAAAAAAAAGGTTGTTCCTAATAGGCGATTTTACTTCGACGACTTCCCAACTTTGTTAGGCGAAAATCCGTTAAGAAAAAAATTCTCCGAAAAAATTGTTTTAGCTATTTTTTTATCCTTATCACCAACATGATAAGGTTGAAAAAAAAGTTAGGAATTATCAAAAGCATTCAAATAATCTCAAATTGAACGATTATTGACACATTTTTTTGAAATGGTTTTTTTGTAAAACAAAATCATTTTGCCTCATTTTGTGTTAAAATGACATAAT